GACTGTCGCTTTGATCTCTCTCATTCTCTCTCTCTCCCTCAGCTCTGTACCCTAGACATACATATTGGTTGGTGTGCATGGTCGATGTTCAGGCTTCTGGGAGCTTCTCGGGCAACATGTATAACTGACCCTAACTATAACATCGACCCATTTATCTAAACCCTAATATTTTTTTATAAAACCCCAATCCCTAAACCTTAGTCCGAGTGTGAGCGCCGAAACCCTGTGAGACGAAATCCTCATCCCGATGAAGCAAGCCCTTCCAAACCCACTGTATAGTATAATATGAGGGCCTTGAAGCGAAATTTTGAAAGGCACACAGGAAGATTGACCCAAACCCTAAAAAATCCCGAACCCTAAATCCCTAAGCCTCATCCCAAAACAAGCAATTCAATCCGTAAGCTAGGAGGGCCTTGGAGCGACAGCCATCATCGGAATTTCGACCTTGGCACTTGCAGTGCAAACTACCACCAAACCATCATCAGGGTAAGATGCACTGAAACCGCCGTCTTCTTAAACCGTAGCTTGTATGCCCTTCGGCACAGCTAGTGCTGCCAATCGCGATGCAGTGGAACGTCGGCCAAGCTAACAGGTGGCTGTCGGGGTTTTGATCTGGAGTCTGGAGGTTCAGAGTTGAAGTTGAGGTTTGTGGGAGGGGGGGGGGGCAATGCTTTAAATTTGACGGGCATGTAAGCAACATGGTCTACTGCATTATGGGATGTGGTGTTCACGACTTATAACCTACATGTGACAAGAATTCTCTTCGTCCAGATACTTTAATTCAAAGGGGAAAAGGAGGGACACCTAATGGGACCCCTAGCCTATTATGGGCTATATACTTGGGTATATTATGGGTATATACCTAGGGGTCCTTATTAGGGGTCCCTGCTTCTACCCTTGGGTTAATCAAAGGGATAAGCCAAACTACAACCAAGTTCCTATAATCAACCTGAAGCACCCCGGCCCCGGCACTCCACTTGCAATTGAACTCTCAGTACCACACAATATTCTCCCCCGGGGAAGTCGCCGCTGGAGCTTGCACGGTATCGTAGGACGTCGTAGGACCTGGCCATACATCGAATAGCACTTCCAATCAAAAGATAATAAGAAGGACTAATCTAAATATATGTATATGTTCTTATTCCACCTGAGCCTATACTCTAGTATGAACGTCAACCTTGTTGAGTATACTTCAAGCCTCTACATAGATTATCGATACTTGGAGGCCCTTTTGACTTAGTAAGTAGGGTTAATAAGGTGGGTTATGGGGCTTATAATAGGGCTTATGGGGGATATTATAAGTAGACTTACTAAGTCAATAGGGCCTCCAAGTATCTTGTGGGGGGGCACAATGATACATGGTATCCCCGATCCTGAATACATATTGTTTGACTTTAAATATGACCCCGGCTTGTTCAGATCCCGTCCAAGCTCAAGCTCGAGACGAATCTCGCCAAGTCACAGCAGGGTGCTTAGCTTTGGGTTCCGTACCATCAATAAAAAATAATTCGGTCCGAAGTCTTATGCTATTAGGGTTGGGGGTTGAAGCTTACCAGGCTTGCCTGCATGCTGGCATTTCCGATATATATATATATATATATATTTATAGGGGTGCTTCATATCAATAACTAAGATATAGATGGTTCTGGTTTCCAGGGCGATATAGTCTGGTCCCTTGAAATTTGGGTTGTGGGTTAATTATTTTGGCGGTCGTCGTGGTAAGAGCTCACACTTATCGGTTTATAGAACTTTAATCGTCATTATGTATATAGGGTTTATCGGGGCTCTGTCATTAATGGCCGGGGCTGATCATGAACCAAACGTCCCAGCAAAACCCCGAGCATCCTAATCAATACAATCTCATAGACCGGAAGCCCAACCTCACTAATTGAAATCGAGAAACCCAGGGATATCCTACACACCCTCGATGCCGACAATGATGAGCTTCTCGATGCATGTAGTCCATGAGACCTTGCTTTGGACTTCGGTTGCGTCTGGAGTCAGTGGCTCCGACGGTGTAGTCGTGGTCTCTTTAAGTTCCTCCGCTGTACACGGGTAAATAGAGACACCTCATGGACCGCGGCCGTGCCGCATTGAACGCCCTGTACATCTCCGAGGTGGCGGAACTCGCGGATGACTTCGAGCCGCTTGTGCCACTGATGTTGCTGCCAGGTTAACATTATTGATTCCCGGTTGCAGCTCCAAGCTTGAAGTCCATTCAGGGTCGTGGCCGGGTCATATGTGGGATGTTGATGTGGGCTTAGACTATATTCTGGTTTTGTAGTTATCTTTTGTTAGGAGTGCCGTTTGGATCTTTAACTACAGGATAGATGGCGGAGTCCGAGTTGGGATTCGCAAGCTATATAGCTGGGCATGAATAAACAGTACTGTAGGAGTCCTGGGTTTTAATCGTTATTTGTGAAGCCTTACAGGCCTCAAAAATTATCAAGCCCTCAGAACCTTAGCCCGACAATAGTTTATTTTAGGTTGCTATTAGTTAGTCCAGATATTGAGGACATGATCGAAGGCCATCGATTGGGCCATGTGCACACAAGTGGGTTGTTTGGAGCCTTACTTATTAGGGGTATGTATGGTGCCAGGCCTATCTAGCTAGAGTATACTTCTTTTCACGAGTTCGTTATTAGGGGGTTGTTTGCGCTTTCGAATGGGCTCCAGGGATTCTAGGGTGATTCTAGGGTTTAGGGTTCTTAATTAGTTATACAATTGCAATCCTCCCGCCATTATTTTTATGGTCAGGTGCAGAGCTACTACCAAATTAGAGTTTGAAGTGGGCCTCAACACCCTTCCAATTCCGACCACTCGCTGATAGTGACCTTCCCCTGTATGTTATATTTGCCGTATAATCTTCGAACTCGTATGCTAAGCTAATAGGGCTAGGGGGGGGGTCAGGGACCCGCTAATACCGGAACACAACACTCGACTAACAAAACGCTGGGCTTTCTGGGCCTTTCGAATCTAGTGTGATGGAAATATTCTTGAGCAGGAATCGAATGCAATGTCATCTCGTCTGCTGCCAATCTGTATGTCGTCTAGAAGCCCTACAGTAGAAGCCAGAAAGTTGGAACATCAGTATCCTCATGCCCTTAAAGTAAAGTATAAGGGATCCTAGCAGAAATCCTCCTAAAGCCATGTTCCAACTTTCTGGCTTCTACTGTAGATGAACCCCCAAGGCCTAAACCCTAAGTAAGAGCCCTGCCCTAAGATAGCCCAGGCTGAGAACAACCTGCATTGCCTCGCAGTCCAAGAAGGATTTCACTTGTTCGCACCTCTGCAGAGACAAAGCTCAATGCAATTCAATTTGTAAGATACATGCATGTAAGCATGTGTATGTGCATGTGCAGCTAAACAAACATACACATATATATATATATATATATATATATATTTATATACATGTATATATATATATGTGTGTGTAAACCATGGATGTGCATATATTGATGTGTATACATGGTACATATCTTGTAGTATTCTATATGGTTAGTTTTATAACAGATGCACTGAATACATATATGGCCGTACTTATCGCTTATAGCATATTTCTTTTATTACAGATTTCAATACTGGAATATGTATATAGGTAAAACACATATACATGTACATACAAATAATATGTGTATATATATATGTAGATATATGAATTATACTGTATGATACATATACACATATATGTATGTGTGTACGTATGTGTGTGTACATGTGGGTGTATATATCTATATATATATGTATGTATGTGTGTACCATGCTACATATGTATATGTAACTGTCATTGTTGTACAAACAAAAACTATACTAAGTTAAGGTGTACATATAATATATGTACACGTTAACGAGTATATATATAATATGCATCTATATATATACACATATAAACATGATAAACACATGTATAGATGCATAGGTTACATATATGCTAGATGCACCGACGTACATATACCTAAGCATACTAAACACGTATATATACAACATATACTTGCACATGTATATATCTATATATATATACAGATATATCTGTATATACACAGTCTGCATGCACATATTTGAACATGTATGTGCATGTTATATATATATATATATATATATATGTATATATATATATACTGGTACTGCATGTATGTATATGTGTGTGTTGCATTTACATATACTATATATATATATACATAGGTGTGTGTGTGTGTGTGTGTCTGTATCTATGTATATATATGTACATTCATATATATATATATACTCCGCTATACAGCATAAACCACTACATGCATGCACACGTGCATACATGCATATATGTATATACAGACATATATACAAGTGCATATACACACAGACACACATGTTCATGCATACGTACTTACATACATATGCATGCATGTGCATACATACATACGTTGATATATATATATATATATATATATATATATATATATACATTCGTACATGTGTACGTAAACACGACCATGGCAACCGAGGAAGCTCCACTCAACTGGGAGTCTGCTGCTGACGATGTGAGAAGCCCGATGCTTTATAACACCCTCCATTCCCAAGCTAATATAGGCAGTAGTGTCTATTGAAACTATGTAAGATGAAGCCCCAACAACCAAAGACTGAACCCTGGAAGCTGTTCGCAGGATCAATGCTGCATGTAGTGCACGACTCAGGTCTTCCAATCTCATGTTAGCCGTGCCCGCGGGCCATAATTCTGTAGCTCACGTGACCCTCGGGCTTGTGTTACGTAGCGGCAGAGGGCCCCAAGCCACGTGAATCACCGTGATTCCCCGTGAGTTGTTAGAGGTTTGGTGGTCTAAAGTTCTACAGAGGAACAGACTTTAACAGAACTCGCGTGAATCGGCGTGAAAAGGTGTGATTTGATAGAAAACCCGGGGGTGTGGCCTATGGGTGACACCTCGGGACTGCAGCAAATGCAATGTTGCAGCATTTACAGCTTGGATTTTGCAATAATTTTACGTGTTTGTGATTGTGGAGCCATGCCTGAGCCTGCGGGAAGCGAGGAAGAAGTGCCTATGCTAAAACTAAAACTCGACTTGTAGATGGTCTCTATCTAGATTTATCATATTGAACACCTCGTTGCTAGGTGCAACGTGCACTGCAGCGAGCTCGTGCACGTGTGCAACGAGTGATGGCCGACAGCCTTGCTAAGAGTGCCACTTCGACACCGACGTGTACACCGGGAAGTACACCAGCGAAGGAGGCTGGGGCTGCTAAGAAGGTGGGGAAGAGGACCGAGCAGGCCACTCCACTGCCAGCGACATCCCCTGCGATTCCTACACCCGGCACGAAGCACCCCAAGCTGCCCGACAATGCCGACGACGGTGCTACTAAGAGCAAGCGAAAGCTGTTCGATGGCCAGGGAACCCAGGTTCAGTTTGCATTAATGTGTGCTAACTATGAATATTATACCCCAAACCCAGTCGTAGAATTCAGGTCCAGCACCATCGCTTGCTACGAGCAGTACGTCGGTTCCTTCTGCCTCACCTGCAGGTGCCCCTTTATAATTAGATACCCCTGAAACCTCGCCCTTAAATTCTGGCTACCACATAAGGCGACGATGATGCCTCGTCCGTGGGAACTTCGGATTGTTCGACAAAGATCCTGGGTGGAGGCTGGCTCGGCGGGATGTCTCGTTGGCGAGGGGTGCCGCTGTTAGTACTGGCAGATCATGGGCCCTGCATTCGTGAACTACACTATACTTTACTATACTATACTAGACTAGACTAGACTAGACTATACTACTACTACTACTACTACTACTACTACTACTACTACTACTACTACTACTAATACTATACTGCTACAGCAGTATAGTATTAGTAGTAGCAGTAGCTAGGAGTAGTAGAAGTAGTAGTAGTGGTACTAGTAGTGGTAGTAGTAGTCGTAGTAGTAGCAGCAGCAGCAACAGTAGTAGAAGAAGTAGTAGTATAGAGTAGTATAGCTATATATATATATAGTATACGTATACTACATAGTACAACGTATGTTTGTCGAAATATAACATGTAGCAGGTCAGGGCAGTCGGGGATTCATGTACACATCGTGCAGATGATTTAAAGCCTTTAAACAGTCGATGCCATTAACATTAGTGGCACTGCAGGGGAGAAGCTGGACACCGACGACACAAAGTCTGGAACTCCTGCTGCTTGTTGGCGCTATGAGCTTGAGGTTTACCTATTATTGGGGTTCAGAATTCCTCGTACTATCTATATACGTACAAGTTTAAGCAATTAATCGGCATGAGGGAAAAACTCGGGATCTAAGTATATGTAGGCCTGATAACACGAAAAAATCCAGAGTATGGCCAACCCTACAAGCCCTATAATTATATAATACCACTCCCCAAACCAAAAGTGTTGAAACCCAGAGCGGGTACTGGTGGACTTATGCTGCTAGTGTACGTGCTCCTAAGCCCACACCTGTAATCCCAAAGCATTGTTGCAGTGGTGGGTGTTATCCGAAAACCCAGCCCTAATAAAGCAAAGTCAAAGCCCCGAGCAGGCCCAGAGATTTCGAGGAACTCGCTGCCTGAGCGATCGAAGGAAGCTTCCCGCATGTTACCTTTATTAGCTAATGTTAACATTGTTTACACTACAGACATACATTACATAACTACATAATCTCGTCCCAGGTCGAGACTTTCTATGAGACATAATACACCATGTATGTGTATATGTATATATTAATTTCCACATTTATGTTACATATTATATGTATGTACATATATATAAATATATACATGTACATACATTATAAACAAGTTCACACACTAGTTGCTGCCATTAAAGTGTGGCGGTTGAACTGAGGTTGCCGGCAACACCACGGCCCCGAGCAGCTTTTCTCTTGCCGAGGCCGTGCCGGTTTTGAAGCATTCCCAACGGTTACTCTGATCATACTAATTAATAACAGTTCGGAGATGTTTGCCAATAAAATTTTAAAGGGGTATGGATATATAGAGTACGTATACATTACAATGTAGTTTGTAGTCTATTATAGCATGCATGTATACATATTGTATACTTCGAGTGCGAACAGACGGAGAGGGTGGAACGTCCGGGAGAGACAGATCGAGAGAGAGAGAGAGAGAGAGAGAGAGAGAGAGAGCATTACATACATACACGTATGTTGTTCGCCCCTCGAGGCGATGGCCACGTTCCGTGCTTTGCAAGGCAACAAAGAGTTCATGGAGCTTCTCAGCGACATGAGCTCAGCGGGAAGAAAGATGGACACCAAGACAAACAGTACGGTGAGCGAGGCCTCGAGAGTTTCGACGGGAGACGAAAGTTTTTCGGAGAGCAAGGATGAGATGTCGAAGATGTTGCTGCAGCCAAATGCTGACAAGCTTCTGAAGAGTCTCTCATCAGATGCTATGGAGGTCGACAACGAGGCAGTGGCATCGATGCCGCCACCGCCGCAAGTGCCAATCAGGAAGGCAGCTCAGGTGCATGTTGCAGTCAACAACCTTGACTCCTACCTGGACTCGGTCTATGGAGGGAGCCACCGGCAGAGCCCCAGAAAGAGGGGCGAGGACAGCCCCTTGTCTGACACCCCTCAAACTGCAGCAGCAGATGTGTCGGAGAGCAACACTGCAAGTGCAGCAGCCGCGGTGTCGGAAAGCATCACAAGTGCAGCAGCCCCGGTGTCGGAGAGCATCACAAATGCAGCAGCGGTGTCGGAGAGCAACACCAGTGCAGCAGCGGTGTCGGAGAGCATCACAAGTGCAGCAGCCCCGGTGTCGGAGAGCATCACAAGTGCAGCAGCCCCGGTGTCGGAGAGCATCACAAGTGCAGCAGCGGTGTCGGAGAGCATCACAAGTGCAGCAGCCCCGGTGTCAGAGAGCATCACAAGTGCAGCAGCCCCGGTGTCGGAGAGCATCACAAGTGCAGCCCCGGTGTCGGAGAGCATCACAGTGCAGCAGCCCCGGTGTCAGAGAGCATCACAAGTGCAGCAGCCCCGGTGTCGGAGAGCATCACAAGTGCAGCAGCCCCGGTGGCGGAGAGCATCACAAGTGCAGCAGCGGTGTCGGAGAGCATCACAAGTGCAGCAGCCCCGGTGTCGGAGAGCAACACAAGCGCAGCAGCAGTGATGTCCAGCACAACGGAGGTCGACAAGGTTGGCCTGCCGATGGTGCCAGGTGTTCCGCGAACCCAAGTGCTGATCAAGACTGCCGAGGGCATCCAGGTCCCTGCCGTCCTCAACATGAGTGCCGAGCAAGCACGGGCAGCAGGCCTCATCGTCCTAGATGGCAATTTGCCCCTTCTGCCAGCTGGAGCGCTTACCGTGCCCCCAGCCCTCAAAGAGGAGCCAAAGGTTGGACCAATCAGTGAGTTTGAGAAGCATTTGGACGGGCTGGCAAAGGCTGAGCCTGAGCAGGCAGTGGTCAAGGATGAGCAGCAGCTGAAAAAGGATGAGCAGCAGAGGCTGAAGCAAGAATGGTTGAAGGAGAGATCGAAGCAGGCAAAGGCTGAGTTCGAGAAGCTCAGTCCGGACTGCTGGGGGGACTGAGATGCACAACTACGGTGTGTATAGTGTGACATGTTAAAGACTACGTACCGAAGCTTTCTCCCGGTCAATACATCCTGTGTGTGTGTGTGTGTGCATGGGTGGGTCTGGCCAGGGGTGAGCGAGCACAGTCAGTACACACGTGTATGAACAACCATGTGACAAAACATGTGCACTGTGTACATAGCACAACACACACACACACGTGTCCCTTATACATGCGATTTCGAAGCACACTACCATATCATGTAAACCTAATACCCTACTAAACCTTAAACCCTTAATTACACTAATTAATATAATTATCCTATATATCAGCCTTCCTGGAGGATGAGAAGAAGAAGAAGCATGCACTCTACATGAAGTTCAGCCGCTCTCTTCGAGGTACCTTATCCGAACCTAACCCTTCGAATCGAATTCCCCCAAAACCCTCAACCCTGAAACCCGAGTGCCCTAACCCTATACTATATTAGATGCCCTTATGTAAATACTTATAATCCCCTAAACCCTGAAACCCAAAACCCCAAAACCCTAATAATACGCTCAACCACCAAGCCCTCGCTCTAAACCTCCAAACTAACGTTAACCAGTACTTACATCCATGATCCGAGGAGCCAGCTGCCCAAAGGAGGTTTCGGACAAGTACTTGGAGATTACCCGGCGAACCCTGGCAAGGATTTATCTTGTGGTTAGGGTTCCATCCCCGGGGCATTATGGTTTAGAGCTTAGGGTTTAGGCTTCGGTTTCGGGGTGCATTTTAAGAGCAGTATACCTCAAATAAAGGGTTCTTTATATAAGGGACTTATGGATCCTGAGGCCCCTCGGTCCTTCTTCTTTTTAAGGGCTTCGGGTTTGTGGTTTATTTTTACGACGACAGGCAAGCAGTCTTACATATACCATTGCTGCATTCGAGCCTCGATTCGTATCTGGCCGAACACTGTTATTGTTCAGGAATTCGTCCGGCATTCGAATATCATTCCGTTTCTAATAATGTATATATAATTATATATACATTATTATAACTGAATGATATTCGAATGCCGGTCGAATAAGGCATGGTCCAGTTGTAGGGATTCCTGATTTCGGGCAGGCAATGACCGAGCCGGTCGCCAGCAGATGTTCGAAGAATTCTTGCAGTGCTCGGGTGATTGGCTGCAGAGCTCCATCTATGCCAACTCCAAGGCGTTTGAGAAGAACCTCAAGCGAGGAGTTTACAAGCTCATGTCTCGCGAGGACGTATTCGATGTGGTATACAGTATTATTATTGTTATTATTGTTATTATTATATTATGATTATTATTCGTAGTAGTATACTAGTAGTTCAGTAGTATTACTAGTAGTTAATAACTACTTTTATCTAAGTTCCCTCAAGTCCTACACCCCGACGGTGATACCCTCAAGCCATAGAAGAGTATCCATTCGTGATGTGCAGGATCTCCTGGTCAAATATCACGACGACTGGGAAGCCGTCGAGGAAATAATTGCTTGCAAGGCATCCCCGGCATTCATTATATGTACACTTATTTCTAGATCGAGACCAAAGACCCGAGGCAATTGTATCGATCGTCCACCCTGGACTTGTAGTACTGCTATATAACTATATATATATATATATATATATATGCATTGTTTGCTTGGAGCTTGAGCCGTGTCCCCGGGGTATGGGTACATGACGTTGTTATGTTATATGCATCTAATATATTCTCTACAATACACATATATATATATATATACATACAGCTTAAAAACTATGTGTGTGCACACACATAGTTTTTAAGCTGTATGTACGAACCCTAATAAATTAAACCCCGAGCCCCGACAATCTTCAAAAGCCTCACACCCGCAATGCAGGAGAAAGATGGACTCTACACCGAAAATCCGGACAGGAAGGCGGGCTATAGTAATCGATAAATAAGCGCTTTCGAAAGCATGCATGACTGATTTGACTAGATTGCTAGGGGCACCGCCTCTACAGTTGTTGGGATTCGACGGCTGAAATTATGGACATCGGCTCCGAAAACTCATTGTCCATCAGCAAGAACGGTGCCTTGGACAATGCCGCGGCGAAAGACCTCATGCGATCGGGCTACACTTGAAGTACTATATGTATGTGTGCTTTCGAATGTCTTTGTTTGCTATACTCTCCAGTACTGAAGCTAACATAGCTGAAAGCCAAGGGCGAACCCACTCAACCTTCGGCCCACGAGCCCTGGGACCCTGGACGTGAACCAGACACTGGAGATGCATGCCCAAGCTGCTAGTGGATCCAGTGGAAGCAACACAAAGGGTCAAGGGAAGGGCAAAAACAAGGGCAAGAACAAGGGCGCGAATAAGGGCAAAGGAGGTGATGAGAACGACGAGAACATCACCCCGGTTCCCAAAGTGAAGACCGCCCTCCAGGAGGCAAAGAGTGTCCCCAGCCATCGAATTAGTTTGTGACTTGTTGTTTATGTATAGCTTGGCTGTACTCTCAAAAATGCTCTCACTCATATTCCCGCTGCAAGCTTGTAGCTAAACATTAAGCCCAGGCTTTGCAATCCGGTGCATCGTCCCTGCTCGAGTGCAAGTCTTGGGACAAGGAGCTCATGACATCGAACACGTAGGGTGCCCAGAATCTTTATTGGCTTCACTTGAGTTTAAAATAAACCTTCGAGATCCAACTCCTGTGTGATGTTCGGCTTTTGTTTGCGAGGCCCGTTCACCTGAAGGATGCGGTCCTGGAGGATGTGCAAAAGTTCGTGGAGAAGCTGGAGACCGCTCGTAGCGGGGTGGAGGCTGTCTTGTATAACCGGTACTTAGACTCACCACTGCTTCAAACCTTCACCCCGAAACCCTGTACATATTACAACACGTAGTCAACCCGTGGTTATATATATATATATGTGTTTTTGAAACATTTTAAATAATTATAGCCATATACCGGTAAACCTGGTTCGTCATCATAGAGTGAGATTCACATACATATATGCATATAACCATCATCTATATAGAGGGATAGATAGATAGATAGCTCGTGCAATCGTCCCAGGTTTGAAACCCTCACGGGGCCACCAGATGCTCTCCATATTGATAACACATGTACTAAAACCCTACACCCGATTCCTATATATATATATATATATATAATACCCCCGTACATACATCAAACTTGAAGGTACCCCCGAACAGCTTATGTAGCACTGCATTGTAGCTAGTAATTCACCTACATTAAAACCCAAATCCAAAAGCTGGGCAGGCTGCCATCGCATTGGGCAAGAGCGAAGACGACCTGCGACTGGCTACAGGGGTTCTGTGTTCCACAATTGCAGACTACAAGATCGCATCGAAGCATGCCAAGAAGTTGAAAAGCTCAAGTACCAGCAAAGCTGAGGGCAAGAGTAAGGCTAAGAAGGCCTAGTTGTGTCGCAGCTGCTGCAAGCTCGGGATCCTGCCCACAAATTTTAAACTTTGTAATTACAAAGCCTAGCCAGGTTTCATTGTCGTATGCATACCAGCACTTCTAATCGTTCAAGCTCCAGAAAAAGCTAGCTATGCACATAGGGCGATTTTAGAGGATCCAGCATAGGAGCTGTAGCTTTGTGCGCGCAAAAGCCTAATTTTGAACCTGGTGCTGCTGCCACTAGCTGTTGGGTTGCAAATATGAGATGCAGCTAGTGCAACATCGTTGTGATGTGTTGTGTGCAGCTGTGCTGGGCCCGTTGCCTCCAGCTCACGGGGACTGAGCTGAACCGATGCCGATTCGATGCGACAAGAAAACACCTACTGCCTGTCCGTAACAACTTCACCCTTAATTATAGTCTAACCTGTAAAACCAAAAGCCCCTACACCTCAAACCATAAATAAACACGACTCTCCAACCCTAGCGAGCCTAAACCCATCGAAACTGTAAACCATTCCTCCCTGATGAAGCTCGTCATCCTATACTGTAAAATAACTACTTATGAATATTAATTATAATCAGGCCCTAGACCTGAGCCTAAACCCATCGAAACTAAACAACCATTCCTCCCTGATGAAGCTCGTCATCCTATACTGCAACAAACTAATTATGATTATTAATTATAATAAGGCCCTAGACCATTGCGACTCTCCACCCGAGCAAGTTGAAAACCATCCTCCCTCATGAAACCCTTCACCCTTTAACCTGTAGCACCTGTAAAGCCCCGCTATTACAAACCTCGAGCAACACGACTCTCCAACCCTAGACCCTAAACCCATCGTCCCGATAAAAAAAATCAAGCCTCGCCCATCGCAGGTGTGCAAAACTCCGCCTTTGCAGAGCATTTGATCGGCAGTTTGGGTCGAGGGGAGCCTTGGCTTACTGTATATCCCCCCAAAACCTAGCTGTACTTCGGATCTACAGTCAGACTATGTGGACTATATGGATGAATCCTTTAAGCCCTGATTCATACGACCACTCCGGTACAATAATTCATGCATAGCTTCTGTTAGCTATCGCTGCAAACAGAATTCCCGAATCTCCTGCCCATCCCAGGCCACAAGTTGTCAACAACTACAAGCAGCGGCCGAAGCATGTGTCAAGGAGCCCCGTATGTAGCAAGCAGGCCTTCCAAATAAGTAGTTGTTTTATGGGTATTCGTAATAATGATTAACATTTCCTTATATATATATATACTATGCCAATATATGCAAACCGGTACGTATATATATATATATATATACGTATATGTCAAAAACCTAGCAATCATCTCGCAGGAGAATCCGGGCTCCTCCAATCTGACCTACCGCCTGGCTGGCATTGGATCCTGGGGTCGTCATCCTGCTAATGCTGAACGAGACCTCTACCGGGTGCTGGGGCTACCGCTCGTGCCACCGTAAGAACCAGCAATTCCTTTTAATATACTCGGGCTACAAATCAGAATACTTAAATTCCGAAGACCTTAAGCAAACGACCCATAACTAGGCTAAAGTCTTCATATTAATTCCCGTAGATGACTAGCTGCAACCCCTTTAATAAATCATTAAACAAAGTTAGCCATCGCCACCTAGATCCTAGACTTTTTTTATGCAGCAGGATGTTACAACTGTGTGCCGTGTTTTGCACAGACCCCTAGCCAAGACAATAATCTTGATATCAATGGCAATCTATCCTTTCGGACTTGTTTGTTCATTCTTATGCAATTAGCCGTTCGGGCATCCCGTACTCTATAATGTATACGTAAGATTGATCCCGAAGTATCGTGAAATTAACAAAGGACCTGTACACGGTACGAGTGCCTATTCGTGATCGGCGATCCCAAGTCCCTGGAGCGAGAACCACCATGAGAGTACCGATTATTCTGGTGCATGAATTGCTAGAGTACATCTCTGCATCCCGACTGATCTTCAAGTTTTGGTTTATATATGGGTCTATATATATATATCTATATATGTAGGTGTGTGATTGTGTACCTTACACGTACATGTCGTGGCACATACGTTTCTTGCCCAGTAACAATTATTGCATAAAGAAAGCTGAGGTTCAGCACGGGATCCGGTTCAGCTCTGCCGAATTGGCCAAATTTTGGGACCACTGGAGGAACAACTTCCCCTTTCATCCGGCTGCTGAGAAGCAACCACCACAGCACACTCCTATCGGCTTTTTTGGTGATGATACATCCTACTCGCTGGCCGGTGCGAAAGCTATAGTGATGCTGGTGTCATTTTGCCTTCACAAGCCTGGCCCTCATCAACTGTCGCGATTTCCTTGGTGTGTCTTGAGGTACGAGCTGAGCTTGGGCCCTGCAACCTTGGACCCACTCATGAAAGTTTGTGCTTGGAGTCTCAATGTGGCCTATTTTGGCCGGTGGCCTCGCATCGGCCCCCATGGTAACCCACTGAAGGGCAGGAGAGCGGAAAAGGCTGGACAAAGTTTCGAGTGTGGTCCCTGGGCTTTGACAGAAATCCGGGGCGATTGGAAATGGCATGTGGAGCTGTTTCGCTTAAAGCGCCACTACAACTGTGGGAACATCTGCATGTTTTGCAAAGCTTCCAAGAACGGCCCACACAAGCCGCCAGACTTGCAGCTAGAAGAGTTACGTACTTAGTTATTAGTCAAACACGGCAAGTAAGTTGGAGATCCGCTTGCTCAAAGGTTCGACCGCTTTGACAACTACGATTCGATCCCTCGCTTTTCAGCGAGCGAGTTCTTCGATGAGTCATTGGGTCGATATATATGTCCCTTGGTGGCCGTCGCTGGCTTCACACCAGACATGATCACATATTGCAGCATGCATGTTAGCAATCTGGGATTGGTGCAGTGGGTAAATGGTGGAGTGTTGATCGGCCTCCTGCAACGAGGGGTCTTCGGCGACCCTCGGAACATCAAGGTCCCCCAGCAGTTGAGGATCGCGACTTTAAGGTTTCGGGAGTGGCGTTCCTTGCATGGCATTGAGCAATCCCAGCCGATTATCACTCAGGGCATGCTCTTTCGCGACCCACCAGAACTTACTCTGAAGGCATATCATGGCCGGATTTTTGTTTCCTTCCTCGCTGCCCTATGTCATGGTTTGATCAACGACAGTGCGACGAACGACGATGACGAGCTTTTGCTATGGCTGGAGGTTTGCCGGAGCCTCGCTCAATGGCACTCCAAACTGGAAGAGTGCGATCGTTACATGCTACGAGAGGATGCCCTGGAACTCCAGCGAATTGGAAATCGCTTCTTGCATGTATACAAGATCCTAGCACATCGTGCTGCTTCCTCTGGTTCTCAGTGTTTCCCTCTCCGTCCGAAACACCACGCCTTTCAAGAATTGAATGCTATGATGATTCGGCAGCGATATTGCTGTCGTTTCAAGCACTGCTTCAAAGACGAGGATTGCATGAAGATCGTGAAGGCACTCTGTAGAAAAAGTCACAAGAATTTATTGGAACTCAGAGTTCTGGCCAGGCTGCTTTTGAGATACAAGTACTGCACACCCGACACCAGCAGCTAGTATGTAGAGGCAGAACGTGCAGTTATGGCGGGCTTCGAGTGGAGGGCTTGATACAGGTTGGATGTGATAGTATCTACATGTGTATACATGTACCTGTGTGTATATAATTTGATTCAGATACTTGATCGTGTGTCTATATATATTATAGCTAAGTTCACTTCGAAGCCCTGCCCAAAGTGCAACCCAGCGGCATTTGGACGACCAGCACCGCTGCAAAGGCCGCTTTCGCTGGAAAGTTTAGCTGGGGTTGTCGAGGGCTTCGGACATAGGGCTACTTGGGGGGTCGAGGGACTTAGTAAGTAGTTAGTAAGTAGACTTATAAGTACCCGAAAAGGGACCCTAATTGGGGTTATGGTACTTATAAGTCCCCAAAATAACCAGTTACTAAGTTCCCCGACCCTCCAAGTACAGATTAACATGCTGCTTGCTGCAGCGACATTTCGAATTCGGGACTGATCTATGAGGGCGATTCAGATCCGAACTTAAGCTTTGCAATTCCTGAACCCTAAACCCCGAGCCTAACAAGAAACTCTGCACTCGAAGCAGTTCTCTGAACTCACGAAGTCTCGAACCTAAACCTTTGCTTCCACCTTTCACCCAAATCTATCCAAGTCCAGGGAGTTCAGGGTCATAGTGTACGATGGCTCATATGTGTGCAATGTATATCTGTACAATTCAATCGTTCGGGCCAAGTTTGCGGCGATTTTTGCTTAGAGGAGTAACCATTTATAAAATTAACCTTGGGATGATGGCCAACATATATGCATCCTGGTGGTACTTGAACCCCAAAGGCCTTTCTATTAAAGACAAGGTCTTTTCTATCAACAAGGTCCGTTCTCTATGTCAGCCCCAAACACTGACATAGAGCCCGTTGGGTCCTATCATGGTTTTAGAGCTGTCTCCCGCGAAAGTTTGCAACATTTGATGACTTGGGAGTCTCGGGGAATGGAAACGTGCAGATTTCCAGTCCTTTCGGCCTTGCACGACTCACAGCGCAGAGACAACTGCTGTGGTTCCAGATACCGCACCAATAGATCTGACAGCTTGGACTCTTTGGCGGCATCACTTTCCACCATGAGCACTGACCAGGTTTCCATGTCGACACGACACGAGGGCCTGCTGCTCTCGGAGCATTGAGCATTAGGGCAGGAATGCTGGGCTTCACGTCGCAGCTTCACACCAAAGACCGTACGGTTGCAGCATGGCCGCTCCTGCACACGCGTGCCCAACATGAACGCGAAATCACATGGTTCGTTTGTTCGACATGCGTTTGACGTCGCTTAACACAGTCTGGCAAAACCAAAGGACCCTGAAAGACAGTAACAGGTGCACCGGTCCTGCTGCTCCAACAATGTGTTGGACAGAGCGTGGGCGAAAAGAAGCGCGCTGTCTGCCGCCCCCGCATCCAAGTGGTATCGGCTGAGCCACGGAACCCACGCCTCCATGCAATGCCGGTCAGCGCAGCCACGGTCCCGGGCTTGCAAGGTGCGTCGCAGCAGGCACCAAGCGCACTCTTCTGACCCACACGTTCTTTGGCTGCTGTCCAATACATCTTTCACGCAAGGCATGTGAAACAACGCCTGGAGCACGGAGTTGATGAAACAAGTGTCGCCGATGTTGCACAGTCCTCCAACGCTTGGATTGCACGGCTTCTTTTCTGTGTCGCGGTGGTAGCGCACACGCCCCCAACCAACGACTCCGACGAAGGGATTGAAGAAGCGGACCGGCTTGGCAAGCGCCGCAACATCTGTCAGCCATAGCGCAAACGTTTTCTTGTAGGGTAGGCCAGGTTGGTGGACGCGGTGGGCAGAACGATACTTCAAGAATGTGGCCAGGCTGATCCTCTGGCAAGCGGCTATGCGCGCACGACCCATGATACTGCTCTTCTGGGCAAGCCAGACCCAACCACACTTTGCGCGGCGGCCTCTCAATTCCATAGTTTTCTTGCCCTCGAGGATTAGCTGAAGCCACGAAGGCTGCACTATCATAACACGGTCCTCCTTAACCGGTAGACAAGGTTCAAGCTCCGACGCTGCTTGCTTTGCAGCACCACGCCGCACTTGCGACTCGAGCGGTCCCTCAGCTGTGCCCTGCCGCAGATTGCTTCCGCCTAAGTAGTCCTGGCGCATGCTCCATTGCGCGGCATAGCCTACATTCACGACGCGGTGCACTTGTAAGTGCTGCAACATGGCAAAGGACTCTGCAAACTCAACTGGACCCAGGACCGTCCAAAGACCACAGCACCAGGTCGCTGTCGCTCCTACAACCATCAACGAATGCACCCCTTCGAAGTGTAATATGTAGGAACCTCTTTGCCCGATAGCTGCTGCTGGCCACTCGGCCAGAAGGTGCTGGCTGTCGTTTCCTCGCGCGTTGAAGCTCGCTACGGTCTGCACATCCTGGAACGCAACTGCAGTGCTCGCTCCACTTCGGAGCATGCATTCCTTCAGAGCAGATTTCGGCCATGTGTACGCGTAAAGAGGCAGAATCTCTGGGGCTGCTCGCACAGGCTCAAAGTTGTGCTCTGCCTCCAGCGACGCTAGAACGCTGCACATGTACAGGTACGGTCTGCACGGAAACGGCCAAGCCTGGATCACGGCCCGATGCATGAAAACTCTGCTCCTCACCTGAGTCGGGAGTGTCCCGAGTACGCTAAGAAAACGCGACCGCGGCAGGCCGGCTCCGAACTCAAGCACGAACCACGACGCGGCCTCATCAGCGGACATCAACCGGTCAGTCAACGGTCGCTGAGTTGTTTCCGACACCGCCAGGAACACGGTACGACCAAACACGATGCTCCGGAAAAATACTGGTCTTTGCGACACATCCACGCTTGCCGCACTGCGCGGAGACGAAGGTGTCTCCACTGTCGCCGAGCCTCCTCTGCAATCTCTGGCAACTTGCAAGCAGAGGTTCGATTCTGCTTCACAGGAAGCCCTCCCTGGTCGCAGCCATGGAAGGTCTGCCAAGACTTTTTTGACTTGCCTTCCTGCAGGCTGCTCTGTCGTCAAGACAGTGTCCACTTGCGCTAAATAGCTCAGGAACAAGCCTACTGGAGGCAAGTTCAGACATACGGAAATGGGCACATCTGCAACTGTGACACCTTCTTCCGTGAGTATATCTGCAGCAGATGAAGGGGTTGAAGGCCACATGTTCTCCGGACCAGAGGTTGGCGTGGCAGCCCCCCGCGAGCGTCTCCTGAGGAGGTCAGCCACGGAACATCCGCCAGAAGGTTCCTGCTCTGCATGCCTACACTCAGTCGGGTAGTCAACACCACATCGACTTTGGTCAACGAAGTTAAGACATGACGTATGTCCGCACTTCTCTGCAAGAGCTTCACCATCAAGAAAGGCCTCACTTGCCTGGCCGGTCTGGGCGCTTGCATGTTTGCCCACGATGCCCAAGGCCCAGTGTTCGTTTGCGCCCACAGCACCGAGTCAACCTGCTGGTAGAGGATTTCCACTGTGTCAGAGACGCTTGCATTAAAATGTTCTAGCGCCGCATCTGCGGGTGCGGCCCATGAACGAACAATCTTTGCTCGCTGCACCCGGCCGCCAGTAATCCGCAACGAGAGGCCCCAGGCATGTCGATAGGCAAAATGCACGTCGTCCTGGAGCAGCCGCGCCACACTTGACGGGCAGTGTGCATTGCAGAAGCCAGCACAGATCTCTACCGACCCCAGATGCGCTGCTCTGCGAATGGCCATGTGCACTTGGGCTCCCTGCATGTGTTCGACTCCCGCGTAGACGAACAAGTTCTGCTCAATGCAAAATCTGGGCCCTGCCATGTTGTTCGTGCTGAAGACTCGCATGGACATCGTCGGAAAACATCTTCCTTCTCCCGTCAGCGGCTCGCGCAGACTCACAGCGCCTGCCGGGCTCTGCCTGCGGAAGCCTCGTTGAGAATAGATGCCACAATAGCAATGCATGACCCTGGACTCCGTCGGAAACGCAAATTCCTCGGGAATTGTACATGTGCCTGCAAGCTGTCCGCTCCAGAAGAATTGGAGACGTGTGCCAGTGCAAACCAGGCACATTGTGTTCACATCCGCAAGCCTTCTTCGTGACAGCCCAGGCTCGGTTCGCACTGCGACACGACGCCCTTGCAGCTCGAACCACAAGTTTTGAGGGAAGTCGACCCTCGCAATCAGTCGAACGGCCCACTTGCTGGCTGGCGGTCTCGTCAGGAAACTCTCTGCCGGCCACTGCAAATCTAAACCATCGGAGTAGCCCAGTACAATTTCACATGTCTGCTCAGTCTGCTCATCTGGCACGCACTCAACTAGTTCCGCGGCACACAGCCGGACGAGAGCAGCGGGCCTCACTGGCACATGCGACACCCACATGTGCAGTAAACGTCCATTTCCTGCTGCCGTCTCATACTTTAAAAGCTGTGTGGGATTATGGTGGCTTGGAAGGCAAGCCTGGCCAGAACGGCATGAAGCAGAAAGCGCGGCGAGTACCCTGGCTGTGCACAGATGCCTGCACGTGCAATCAGGAATCTGAAGCCAAGAATCTTGCCACACACAGCTGATGCTTCTGAGCAGGCACTCAGCGCGCTTGCTGAGGGATGACACGGTTGCAAAATTCGCCAAGCCAACAGCATAGTTCAGGATTGTAGCGTCCACGTCAGTCCGTGCGCAAAACAAGGGCATGGGCGAACCACATTGCTGATCACTGTTGCGCACGGTTCGCTCAACAATGGTACAACCGCCAAGCTGATCACACTGACTCCTTTGCCACGCTTCTGCATGCCCCAGGGGGTCATCGTCAGATCGACGCCAGAATACCATGCGCTGCAACGGCCTGGGATGAATCTGCAGACGTAATCCACATGCATGTATATATATATATATATATATGTCTCTCTCTCTCTCTCTCTCTCTCTCTCTCTGTGTCTCTGTCTCTGTGTCTGTCTCTGTCGGTCACTCTGTGTCAGGGCAAGTGACTCTCCTGGGACCAGCACCTCGTCCCAGAAGCCAGAGCTGTCACTGTCTGAAT